TACATAGAAAAAATACAAACAAAAATATTGCATACAAAAGCTATAGTGAATAATTGAACTAATTTCGCAGAACTATATTTCGCAACAAAGATTCAAAATTATTTCGCAACATATTTTTTTTCCCATCCTTATATAATGAAATGTAATTATACCACCATATTTCAATTTAAGAAATATGAATAAAAGTAGATGGAGAGATTTTCTGATACAGTTATGGTTATTAATATTATATAAGAAAATGTCAAGATACTTCTGTCAAATTAAGAGACTGTTTTTTGACTGAAATAATAGGTTTAAACACCGCATATTTTGTTTTTTATTAACCAGAATTAAGTTTTTTTTTATAGATATGTCATTACCATACAGTACAGTAATTTTACCAGATTTTCTTTTACACGTTTAAATGTTATTTCCCACGCTGAGAAGAAAAATATGCTCAAAACTACCAGAATCTGGTATAATTGACAGCGTTTCTGACTTATGGGAACACTAAAAAGCACGATATTTTTTATCATAGCGCTTTGTTAATGAATTTGGTAAAATTAATGATAAAATATTGCTTCATGATGCGTTTTAAAATTTCTTAAATATGGTAAAATTTGGCAACTTTATCATACCTTAGTAGAGTATGGCATAAAAACCATTTGTACGGTTAAATTTACTTTTCAGTTTTGTATCTTTTAGTTAATGTGTAGTATTAAGAACTATAATTTGTAATACCAAAATTTTCAGTGAACCGTTACCAACTGAACGGAACCAAAATTATGTAACCAAAATTATGTTTCTCTTATTTTTTATCTTTAACAGAAAGGTTTTTATCATGCAGTACGATAATTTTGCCAGAATGTTCTTCTTCGTAAACAAGTTACAATGTTTTAGAATAACTCGAAATATTACTAGTGATGGTCTATATTAAAAAATTTAATATCATGATATACCATCAGAAAATATCAATAATTTACGAATTATCACGACTTTTTCAATCTAATTAATTAAAATTTTTCAACAAGTTAACAGTTAAAAATCCTGTTATGAGTTAAAATCCCTCTTTTCCTTTTTTTTTAAAACATAATTTTCTATAATGAATCATTCAGATATATCTACTTTATGTATCTACTTTAAACATAAACGCATTCATCATGAACGATATAATTTACATTGTTTTATATTACTTTTCTTATTGTCTGCTTTGCATTCTGAACCAGAAGTGATTGGAATCCATAGATTCAATTCAAATAACTCTATTAAACTGGCTAACAGTTAAAAACTCTCTTTATTTTTCCAGATTTTTGCATAAATGAAACATTCAAGTACTTCTACCTCAAATATTAATGCATTCTTCATTAACGATATATTATATATCGTCACACATTTTCTTATGCTTATTATTTGTTTTGTATTCATAATTTAGAAGTGATTTGAATTCACAGAACAGTTGATTCAAATCCACAGATTCGATTCAAACGATTCATATTAATTGGTTTAAATCAATACAAGTGATTCGAATCACTGTTATGAATCACATAATAATTGATCTTCTTTAATGATTTGAATCACCTTTATGATTCATCTTGCCCAATTCTTTTCAGTCGCCATAATGATACTGTGAAGCATTGTAGTGAAGCAAAAGGTTTTTCTCTTCTTTCTACGCAAAAGGGATTTTATTCTTAATTTAGTCACGATACTTATCAATGTCAATAATTATTGACATTCACCCTTGTCGACAGTTATCGGCCCTTATCGTTGTCGATAATTATCAATAGATATCGTATTTACGATAAATCACGAGAATATGCTTTAAACACTAACGATATATTATATATCATCATACATTTTCTTATGCTTAGTATTTCTTTTGTATTCATAATTTAGAAGTGATTTGAATCAACTGATTTGAATCCACAGATTCGATTCAAATGATTCAGATTAATTGGTTTGAATCAAGGCAAGTGATTCGAATCACTAATATGAATCACATGATTGATTTAATTTTAATGATTTGAATCACCTTTATGATTCGTCTTGCCCAATTCCACTCAGTTTCCATAACGCTACTGTGAAACATTGTAGTGAAACAAAATGTTTTCTTTTTCTTTCTACACAGAAGGTAAATTAGTCACGATATTTTATCAATATATATCGTATTTACAATTAATCATGAGAATATACTTTAAACATCGTAATCACGATAATTAAAGAAGATCGATATTTCACGATATAGCCCAGCTCCAGCTCTAGTAATTACTTAATATAACTTAAAGACTATAACATTTAATGCTTCGTATTCACTTAAAAGCATTATTGCATTTAGTTTTCATAGTATATATGATATTAATTGCACGCCAAAATATACTATTAACATTAATTATTATTTAGCGTTGGGCTTTATATTAATGTGTTCCAACAAATATAATATTTTCCCAGTGATTTTTGCTCTTATGGCTATTTTTAGTTTATCAAAAACATTAAAAAGATATTACAAAATAATGAAACTCTATTTATAATAATTTTAAACATTATATCGTAATAAAACTTTATATCATTTTTATTGCTGATCACCAGGAAGTTAAAAAAGTTCTTTTGGAATAATAAACATGAAGACGGAAATCAGATTGGTGCAGTAATTTTTTTGAGAAATGCCTTTCTACAAGTCTTGCTTTAATACACTAGGTAAAAATTATTTTATCAGTAAGTTAATTTGTTATAAATTGATATTAAAATAACAGCTTATTACATAACATTAATTAATCACTTTAATATTTAATGTTGCGTATTCACGTAGAAGCAATGAAATGGTTTTAATGGTTAATGCAGGGTTGACAATATGTATGACACTAATGATAACACCATAACATGCTATTAGCATTAATTAATCATCATATCATTTGGTGTTGCGTATCTATCTTTAATCTTTTGTTTTAAGTGTGCATATATTAAAATAGTTTTTTTGGGTACTTAAGCAACACTATTCATGAATTTTAGGGGTATTTTTTTCATCAAGAAATAATATTTCAAAATAATACATTGAAAAACTTTATATTCGGATATAATTATTAGCTATTTGCATGTTTCTTTTCAAAACAATGTATGATATTATTTCTGGATATTAGAAACTTTTCTTTGTATGTAGTCTTGTGATAAATATCACTTGATGATAAATTAACTTTCGTTATGATAATCTAAACTTTCAAGATATTGTATCCATCTTTATTTATGAATATCAGAATTATATGTGTCGATAAATAATCTTGTGATAAATATCACTTAATGATAAATTATCTTTCGTGACGATAATTTAAACTCTCAAAATATTGTATCCATATTAATATTATCTGTGAATATCAGAACTTTTTGGTTCGAAAAATAATCTTACAATAAATATCGTTTGACGATAAATTATCTTTTGTGACGATAATCTATATTTTCAAGATATTGAATCTATCTTTATTTATAAATATTAGAACTTTTTGTGTCGATAAATAATCTTGTGATATATATCACTTGATGATAAATTATCTTTCGTGACGATAATTTAAACTCTCAAAATATTGTATCCATATTAATATTATCTGTGAATATCAGAACTTTTTGGTTTTGATAAATAATCTTGCAATAAATATCGTTTTACGATAAATTGTCTTTCGTGACGATAATCTAAATTTTCACGATATTGTAAATCAGTTTATAATATTTGTGAATATCAGAACTCTTTGAGTCGATAAATAATCTTTTGATAACTAGCACTTGACGATACATTATCTTTCTTAACAATAATCTTTCAGATATTGTATCTATGTTAATATTATTTGTGAATATCAAAACTTTATGTGTCTATAAATAATCTTGTGATAAACATCACTTGAGAAATTATCTCTCGCCATGACAGCGTTAATTATCTTTATTCTTGTATTTAAAAAAATTAGTAATTGGTTTCGAGGAAAGCACTTCCATTTTAATATTTTCCATTTTTTAATGATCACTCAAAATGCAATTTGATATGAACAAAACGTGAGGATATTAACACGTCAATTTTTGACGTTAGAAGTTTCATATAATTGCATCCCCATATTTTTAGCAAATTTATCCATATAAAGTAACATGTAGGTAAAGTTCAATTATGGTGTAACTCATTATCATATTTTAAATATCAGTTTAAATTAAAATCAGTAGATAATTAGGTATATGAATATTGCTGTAGATGTATTTCTATCGTGGCTAGCAAAATTTTTATATCTTAATGTCTTCCATTATAAGCACAATAAAATATAGGTAAATTTTTTTTGAAAATTAGAGAAAAGAAATAATTCTTTAAAATTTCAGCATAAAAAAGGGAAAGTTAAAACAATTTAATTCATTCTTGAATTTTAAATAGATCAAAATAATAATTTAAAAATGATACAATGATAAATGATGGAAGGGAGTACTGGATTAATATATCAAGAGTACTTTTTAGAATTTTTAATATGATTATTTTAGTGCTCTGTTGCTTTTCTCATAAAATATTAATAAGCATTTCCCGTTTTAGGTGAAAGTTTATCTTTTTACTAAAAGAGAACAAGGTTGTTATTTTCATTTGTTTTTCTAAGCGATTTTCTAAACGTATATGCTTAAGAAATAAGTATATGTATGTATGTATATGTAACGTTTTTTAAATGCACATGCTTTTTTTTTTTTTTTTTTTTTTTTTTTTTTTTTTTTTTTTTTTTTTTTTTTANCTTTCCAGTTCTGCACATGCTTTTTTTTTTTTTTTTTGCGTAGCTGAATTACTTTTTTTAACACAATGAAATTTAGGTTTGAATATTTAACTTTCATTATTTTAGTGTCACGTGATATAATTTTTGAAGTCAAACAAAAAAGTTTTTCTTGTAAATAAGACAACGCAAAAACTAGGATAAAACAAAGAATAAAGAATTTATATCTGATAAAATAATTATAATTGTTTTTACAGTTTACTTATCTACATTAAAAAAAATTCAAAAAAGTTAAAAAATAACACTTACTATAGGTTCACATGAGTTGTTCATTTATATATTTCATTTACAGCCTATAAAATCCCAAAAAATCTGCAAAGATAAAGAGAAATATGTAAATATCATTAAATAGCAAAATCTAACAAAACATAAGCATTTAAATGATTAAATACAGTGAACATATGCTGATTAGTTAAATAAAAGACAAATGTAAATAATCCTGCTTTTTACTGGTATAGTATTGATTAAATTGATTGAAAGACGCAATGATTAATGCAATGATTTATTTGTTACAAATATAGTAATATTGACCCGCTGCGGCTCAGAGGGAGGATAGAGCGTTCACTTCCTAATGAGGTGTGCCAGGTTCGGATCCCAGCGGTGGCTGGTAAAAACGAATTCTTCATCCAGATTTCACCGACCAAAAATACTGACGTAGAATATCTCCAATGATAGACTGATCTTGGGTTGGAATCCCCTTGCCATCGGGCTAACCGTGGGTGGTTTTTGTGGTATTCCTCACCATGTAACGCAAATGCGGGTTAGTTCCATCAAAAAGTTCTCCACGAAGTCTAGTTTGTCCCAGTGCTTGATCCAGAAGTTCTCTTGTCTTCTGGTTTGGGCTCAAAATTACAAGGGTGCGGAGTTGAACATCGATAGTCGTAAACTCAGAATAAGGTTCAACGCTGGTTATGAAATAAAACAATAATATAGCAATATTATTAAATTTTAAATGTTGTTAATGTATCTCAAATACTGCCCTGCAAATAAGTTATTTAAAGTTATTTGTTATTTAAATGCACTACCATAATTAATTCATTTTTGAAATATTTTAAACGACGCAAACAACCTAATTGATTTATATGAATATTATATTATCTTTTGCTTAAGCTAAAAAATATAATAAAGTTAGAAGTTTAAATTAAAAGTATTTTAAAAAAAAAATCACATGAAATTATTATCTGTATCTAAACTTATGTACCTAAACTTAGGTACCTAACCTAAGTAACCTAAACCTTAGGCAGTATTTATTTATGCGAGAAGTAAATTAACGAGAAGAATAGTAACCTAAGACAGTGTGCTTATATATGCGAGAAGTAACCTAACTAGAAGTTAAGTAACTAAAGGCAGTATTTATATATACGAGAAAAAATTGCATAATATGTTTTAAAAGCCAAATAAACATAGGTGAAGGTCGTTCATTTTCAACTTATTTAAGAAGCAGAATTGAAACAACACTCGCTACATATAATTTCTAAAAATAAATATTTCTTCAATAAAAAAGAAAACGAAGGAAAAAAAAGGTCACAGGAAAAACAAATACTAACAAATGAAATCAACCACCCGCGTTGCTGAAAATAGAATACTCCTTCTTCAGAGCTTTCCTTTTTCTTTCTTTTTCTTGTTTTAAAAAGAAAAAAGTTTAAAGTGCTTAATTAAGGATGATACTAAAAGCAGTAGAAAAATAAGGTTACTTGAACATTGGGAGCATTTATTACAGACTGGCTTTTGAGTTAAATAGTTGTTTTTGTTTCTTTTTTTTCTTCTTTTTAATGATACTATCAAAGCTTGTGTTTGTCAGTTCAAGCAAGTGAAATTCTAGTCGAAAAATTTAATCTAGAATCTTCTTATCTTTTAAAAAAAATGTTGCATGGGTAAACTACTGGAGATATGTGTGTAAAAATGAATCAAATTGATAATTAAATGCTATATTAAAACGTATAATTTATATTTGACTTAAGTATAATTCATATTTTTCAATAATTTTTCCTCGTGAGTTCATGTTTCATTAATAAACCTTTCCTCGTAAGCCATTGTCTGGAGAAATAGCCTTTTAAAATAAAAAAAAAAAGATTAGCTTTTTTAATTTCTCTTTTATTAATTGAAATTCATACTTGATTTAGTTTTTCATTAGTTTTTTCTCATTAGTGCATGTTTTATTAATAGAGTTTTCCTCAAAATCATTTAATGGAAAAATAATCTCTCAAACTTAAAAAAAAAGTTTAGTTTTTTAAGTTTTCTTTCCCTTTTATATCGATTTTACGTTTAATCTAAATATCCGTACTTTGAATCAAAATATGGTGTAAATTTATTGTAACTTTAATAGGTTGTTAAACTGAAGAAAATTTCCCATCAAATTAAACCATAGCACTGCATAATCAAGTCAAAGAATTTGCAAGATAATTTATTAAAGCTTTCATAGGTTTAAGGGACAGGCGATAAATTACGAACAAAAATAAGTATTTTTGAACACCCTATCATAAAATATTGCAATAAATTTGTAACTTGCATCGATTACTTTGGTTGTTGCTTGTAAGAATTGCAACTTAACTTAAATATTTATGAAGATAGGGACATTTTTCTGAAAACTAATTTTTTTTGTCTAACGTTCTTTAGCTGTAACAAAATGTTCAACAAAATTAAATTTTTTTTGGAGAAACTTTTAATTAATAACAAAATCAGAATTTTAAAATGTAAAATCGTTTAAAATAGTGTAAAGGCGCAAGGTAAGAGTATTTAAGGTAATTCTATTTCAATGCGCATGCGCAGAAAAAATATTTTCATAATCTTGTAGCGAATCGTATCGTCTTTTCTAACTGTCGAAAAAGTTCGATTTGAATATATTGAAAATTTAAAAAGTTTCTAGCAATTTCCTAAGTAGATTTTATACTTGATTGATTAGGTTACAAAATAATCCTCAAATTATTTTTTGAGAAATTTAGTATTTCTTCCATTATTGTTTGGTAGTGTATATGATAGATAAATAAATTTTTCATTAACTAATATGAAACTAAATTGTCTCGTAAAATGTGAAATCCCAACTTACTAGCAACACAGGACAGTTATTGCTCATACAAAAATGCTTTAAAACTAAATTATTTATTCTGATAAATATGGCGTATTTATTATTAAACATTTTCTCTTCTATTTTTTTATGTTTTATAAATTAAATTGTATCATCGTAAAAAAAATCTCTCAAAAGTAGTATTTTATTAAATTTGATATAATTTAAAGGTCACTAACGAGTTAATTGATTTTTTTTTCTATTACAGGTTGTAGACCACAATTGGACAGGTACATAATAAATAACAGTTAAATGACTATGAAAACCGCAGGATGTTATAAAGTTACAATTCGTGGTAGAGGGTCAATTTACTTTTCATCTTAGAGATTTCTTTAACTCGTTGTTTCCTCTGCAGATTTACATCTCTCTCACGCTTCTAAGGATCTAATCCATGCAGAGTAAAATTAAAGGAAGTCAACCTGTTTAAGTGCTTGCTTTGCGTGCAATACTCGATGTTGACAGTTAGTTTGAAACAGAAACTGTTTGCCATGTTTGACAGTAAATGAGGTCGACAAACTGTTTAAGGTTTAAGACAGACTAGCTCTTTAATGAAAGTTGCCTTTCAAAGCGATTTAAGTTACAGACCTCAATTTTTTTTTACCATTCTAAAAGATAAATTTTTCATTATTTATCTTTTAAGAAATCCATACATGTTCAGGTTTCGTGAAAATGGGTGCAATTCATTGGCAATGTTACAAAAGGGGATAAAAAAGACGAAATCTGAAATTAAATGATTTTTTTCGTTCAATTTCTTGATGTTTGATGAATCATATTTTTTGATGGTGGTGAAGAATTATAATTTGTGAAAATCATGAAAATAGCTCCAATACCTAATATTTTATTTTTATATGTAGATGTTTTTTTTATCTACAGATTTGTTTACATAATATGAATTAGGAGACAAAATGGTTGTGATAGACTTACTAATTATTTATCGCAATTTGTATCCACGTGATTTAAGAAATGCATGCCTCGATTTCTAAATCATACATTACGATTTATATACAAGCTATTTATGAATCTCGCTTCGTATTTCGTACGAATGCGATTAAAAAATCACATAAACAATTCCTTTCACACAATTTATGAATCACACATGATCAAAGATTGGAGATTTTCTTCCACGCTGCAGTTGGTCGCAATTATAATGTAAGCTTTTATTTCATTTAAAATTTGCTACCTGAACTATAAAAAAGTCAAAAATGATGTTTTTATGAAAAAAAAGGCCCAACAAGAGAGTGGGTCGTTAGAAGCCACTGAATCGGAAAATCGCCTTCCGGCCATCTTAAAACAGTTACTTTGTTTCTGATTTTTACTTACTATTAGTATAGAAATACTTTTATTTATTATTTGTTTAATAGAAAATTGATTATCCGATGTCAGAAAATTGGAAGTGGGTGTGCGTTTATATTTTCCAGGTGTACAAACATTAAACTATTTGGGAAATTTTTAAAAGTAGATAGTTACTAAGGTGAGTCAGTTAAAAAAAACCTTCTTTATATCGCTGTGATGGTTCAGCGGTTAAGGTACTGAATTATCATTGCAGACCAGGGTTCAACCCCCGGTGATGGCTTGAGGCTCACTCAGCACAAATCATAAAATTTACACTTTATTCAATAAATTAGCTTGATACAAGTAACGTTTATAAAGGCTTTTTATCAGTGTTTTTACGAACTGAAATAACTCTTAGAATTGTAATCCACTAATATCTAAATATAGCACACAAAGAAAATAAATAAAAAGCAGCCTCATCGTGACCAAGAGAAAAGTAGAATATTTAATATTGTTTGCTAGATGATTATTTTTTTTATTACTTACTTCTGAGTTACTCATCCATGAACTAACAGAAAACAAAATTGAATTCAAAAGAGCACCAATCACGGCAAAATTTGAATAACATTGGTGACCCCACTATCATGCGTTTGCTCTTTAAGTAAACTATGTCAAAAAAACTGCACATCAAAATTCATATTAAATTTGTATGCTAGTGGAATCTTTAAGTTATGCTTTTTTGTTCCCTTCTTAGAATAGGTTATTCGGAAATTCTGCTACGACTTTTGTTTAAACATATTTTATTAAACTCTGAAATTTATTAAGTTATGCCTTACTCTACTACCCTGTTTAGGTTCTCTATTTATATTTATGAATGCTAAGAAGGAGAAAAAATTAATACATTTTTCACTCCTATAATTTTGTGAAATATTTTATGTATACATTTTTTATTTATTTATTTTATATTTATCTTTCA